ATGTGACGCACCTACGAGTATCCACATCGGACTCGACGTAGGAGTAAATTAGTACATAAATGTTTCATAATAAGATCTCCAGTTACAATCGCTCTTTATACGGTTAATCAATTATGAAAGGCGTCCCGGATTCACTTTCCTTCCACCTCTCGATTCTTTAAAGAAACCGAAATCGATCGTACCGTGTGAAAAAGACGGCTACGATTCATCTTGCCGCGACAATTTGCAACGTTAAGTACCTCTCGGTAAACGAGAATTTAATTTAACTTTTCGACGAGACAAAGGTCCTTTTTTCAAATGCACTTGAGAAATCCAATTTCGTTAATCCCCGGCAGTTTGCTTCACTCGGTCATTCTTTGATTTCATCCGGGCAAGAATGGATCAATCCGAGTCTCAGGGATTTTGACAACATCATCGACGCGTTTAATTTGGGAAAGTCGTTAGTTATCTCGCATCGATCTTCCTATGGAAAACGTCTTCATCAAAGGGTGGAGTTTACGCGAAGCCGGCACGCCCCGCACGTGAATTCGCATACCTCGGTATCTGTCTGTTATACATAGAGTTGTATGTACCACACACAACACATAAGTAAATCGTAATTAGAGAGAGATTCACGTAGTCGTACATATACAACATGTCGTACGTATATCCTTGATACAGGTGCACGTGAGTGCACGCGTGCTTATATACATATCGTGTGTCGAATTGAATTCGCCGGTAGCGAAATTACTATGACGTTTTTAGGGAGCGGTGTCGTGAAAGAATCAACGTGATACCTGGTAATCGCGTATAAAACACTCCCATTATCATCAGCGGCCGATTGTAAACGGCGCGCTATGCGATCTCGTTATACTCTCGGGAGTCTCACAGTGTAACAAAACTACGGGCTAAAAGAAAGCTGAAGAGAGAGAGATTACAATGGTAAAACAGAGAGAAAGAGAGAGAGACACACAGATTATAGCGTCAACTGTCGGGCAACGCCACCTAGAAATAAAATACACATTACAGAGATCGACGTCAACGTCAACGGGATATAGTCATTCGCCAGTCTACGAAACGTACGTACGCTACATACTTACACTCGTACACTAAAAAAAACATGTGAGCAGACACGTGTGTTAGATTTGACGATCGTTAGAGGTCCTCTAGGATACATGAGAATGCCTAGGTGAAAAGGCTACCTCTATATATATATATATATATATATATATGTATGTATGTATATATATATATATGTATGTATGACTCGTTTAATCAGCACGTCGACAACTAGATGCCGGGATGAGAGAAGTGATCTAGATATCGTATGATTCGATCGGATGAGTTAAGTACACGGCGGCCGCGCTCGATCGACTCGCTGCGCGAGGCTCGATTTGCCGTATTCGAAGGTATCGCGCGGAGATCACCTTTCTACGGATGATCCTCTTCGAAATTACTTCGTTATCCCTCCCGTCGAGATCCTCATCGGCGGTGGGGAGCGATTTCCAGTCGATTCTTCAACCGACACCGCGGAATCGCGGCCTGGTATCTCCGGCCGGATCAATGCTCGCGCCGTGGTGGGAAGAAAATGTTCAACTTTAAACGAATCCGTACCCGCGCGTACCAAGACTTTTGATAAGCTTTTCCTGATTAAAGGGCACGCGAGGAATGCCAAGCAATGAGAGAGTATCGGTAATCTGCTTTTTTTTGGAACCGTACAGCATTGTCGATATATTGTATGAAATTATGGGGTTTCGATCATTTTCTAGTAAACTTGTAGCAATAGCAAACGGCAATAATTTCATGTTATAGTATTATTGTGAGAAAGAGATCTAAAACTATACTTTGATATTCGAATAACGTAGAAATGGGAGCGACTCACTTTTCTCACTAATTTTTCCTCACTTATTTCGAAGCATTTTTTCCTCGTTAAAGAGAAAAAAAGAAAAACTCAACTTTCCTCACTTTTGCTTACTCGACCTGAGCCCTTTCAGGAAGAAAAGTCGATTACAAATGACAATTTGATTACAAGAAATCATGTTCAATAACTAGCTTCTTTAACACGTTGACTGCCGCGCGCGTTTACAGTGAAATCTCCTTCAGGCCACGCGTACCGCTGTACAAAGCGTATTCTGCTGGATATTCCCACCGATATTTTAAGAATGCGAATCGCTGGTTGTCGCAAGAATAATCTCTCGCTCCGTTTGTTTCCATGGTATCATGCTCGTTCATTTATTTTTGTTATGCAGATAAAAGTCGTCGAATGGGCCGATCAAAGACACGAGAGAATTTAAAGAAAACAACAACTTATTGTCCAAGTTGTCCCGACCAACCCCAGCTTTGTATAGAATGTTTTAAAGTCACCCGAATATGGGTGACGTGGCAGTCAACGTGTTAAAGACGAGGCAAACGATTCAATGGAAATAGAAAGTAACAATAACTCCAACGACATAATGGACCCATCTGACTGTATTTTTTAAAGCGTGTAGGAATCGATAGTCTAAGATTTGTCTATGTTCGTTCACAAATAATTCTTGTTGGTTCACCAAACCAGAACCAGTTATTTAAAAATGAAACCGAGAAAACAGACAATGTCAGGAGAACACCTGGCTATATTTTCTTTAAATTAGATATTATTGAAAAATATTGAAATGTCATTATTTAAATACTATTCTTAAAAAGCTCACTAGTTTGCTAGTGTACTTTCAACAGAAAACCCCTTAATTTAAGTGCTCCAATTTCTAAAATTTGTTTCTGTTTGACGGAAAGATCTGGGATATCCTAATATTCTTGAAATATACCGCAATATAGCATATAGCTTAACTGGCCTCAAGTACTGTTTTTATTTTATTTCATTAAATGTGTTTGTGAAAACACAAAGAATTTAATTTTTTTTTTATGAAAAATCCCACTGTATCTGAATATACGCCTGAGATTGAGTTTAAAGTAAATTTTAGATGTTCTCACTTTTTGAAGAATGAAACATTTCTCTCACTATTTTTGACAGTCAAACCGCTCCCGTGCCTGACAACATCGCAGGAATCGCGATGAAACTATAACGCCGCCCAGCACGTCGCGAAATTTACACATCGCACCGTTATCTACTCACATGAGGAGACGAGAGGAAAAGAAAGAAATGTACATGAATATTCCGAGACCTGCGCCGGCGAAATCGACCGCGAGCTGCCGATCGAGCGGCTCACACGGGACCATCTAAGAAGAAAGTGAATTTCAAAGTCATACGGTCGCAAAAAACGTTCTCTCTACTCTGTTCGCCTATATGCGAGCTACGTCGAATCGATGCTGTAATATCGATTTAATAATACCTTTGCTCGAATTAAGCCTCCGGCACAAACTGCAAGCGTGGAGGACACATCGTTAAGTGGGTTAGTGGCAAGCAGACAAGTCCGGGTTGGAGAAGTGTTCGCGATATATATATACATATATATCAGCGAGTTCTCTCTCTGTAATTTTCGGACACGAGGAGCGCGTGGAAGAATTCGCATCACGCCCCAAACCCGCCGGCTCGTTCCCGAATACGTGGTGAGATCGGTGTCCGCGTTTACTCGACATTTCGTCTTCTCGATCGATCCCTGCCAAGGTCGGCACGCGCGCGCGCGCGCGCGCACGAAAGGCCAGCGGAAAACGCGTAGGGAACAGCGCGATAATAAATAAAGCGTGGGAGTCCAATTGGCTAGAGAGACTACGACAGAGATCACCGACACGAGCTTCTCTGCGAGACGGACTTAAGGAGAGAGTTTCACGTGTGTATGTGTGTATGAGACCGGAAACGTCGCGAATCGTCCACAGCTGGTGCGCCGGCCGAGGAGAGGAGCGGGTCACCCTGTCGAGGCTTGAAAGCGAAGCTTAACGACCAGCCAGTCGCACCGACACGTCGATTTGAGCTCTCTCGATTACTACTTTCGACGGTAGAGGATTATCAAAGGATTTCGCGCTGACATATGCCGGTGATACGCCCGGTTCCGCTTTGATCAATTCGCTCGAACGGTACCGCCGAGAATTAATAGAGTCGGAGCGCCAACGTCGATGCGATCACGCCAATTTCACTCGCCGCAGCTTCATTAGGAGAGCGAGAAATCGCCGATTGCGGCTGATTGCAGCTGGACAAAGCGAAGCTCCGGACTCGTCGGTGCGACTCGAACCGCGCGCAACGACCGAGAGACCGCGTTGCGTTGTAGAAGCACCGTGTGAATCCGGTTCTCTGGTAGCTTCCCAACGCTCTTCTCTGCGTCGTAGATAGAACGACAGCCGCGAGCCAGAAAGCAAGCACGAAAACACGAGCACGTCCATCGAAAGCGGTGGCCCTATTAAAGATCGCCGTCTAAATAATCGCCGGCCAAGACGCGCCGAGAGAGTGTCTCTTTCTCTCTCTATCTTTCGCGTCTCCTTCTCCTCCACGCGGTGTCCTCGACCGTCGCGCGAGGCCCGTTTATTTCTCCCGTATAAATATTTAGACGGTGGTCTCTAATAAGTTAATCCGATCGAGTGCCGCGTGACGCGTCCTTGTTGCGACAGCTCGGATTCTTGGCTCGGGTTCAACAGTCGGCGTTTTCCCGATAACAAATCGCGACTCTACCGGGTGCTGCTCCGCGGCGGTGGAGCAGGAATCGACAGCGAGATCCTCTTCTTCACCGGGATCATCCGACTCGTCCGCGAGGCAGGCTCGATTTGCGCGCCTCGATTGAACCTCTAATTATTCCCATTGAGATAAAAGCGGCGACGGTGATGGTAAAAAAAAAATGGCTCGAGGGAGCGTATCGCGTCAGGCGAACCGTATGCCGAAGACAATAGAAAATTGGAACAGGGGAGACAGCGCGACTCCAGCACCCCCTCTCGCTCACCCCACCACCGCTTCCTGTACTTTCGGGAGCACACGGTATACGCGCGTGCGTGGGCGACGATGCGCGACGTTCCGCGAGTCCGCGGCTCTTGTGTGCGTCCCGTTCCCGCGAGAGTAGTCGGTCTTCCTCTTTCATCGCCTTTCGCGGCTTACGACTTACCCTTGCGGCGATGGACGTGGTGGGCTTCTCCAGGAGATCCCAGAGCCACTTCTGGTACTGGGCGCACTGTCCCTCACCGAACTCCTCCTCCTCGCGCTGGCGTAGCGACTCCGCCTCTTTGCGCATCTCCTCGTGCACGTTCTCCTTGCGCTGGTGGTACTTATGCTGACAGCAGCTCTCGAGATAGAGCTCGTCGACACCCCAGTACTCGAGGTCGTCGCTGAACGCCAGCACGCACATCTCGTCCACCAGGTGGAGCTTGCCCGTGCGATAAAAGTTGAGGATCGAGCTGAAGGACTTGGGGTGGCGGTCGAAGAAGTACTCGTTGTCGATCAGGGAGTAGTCGTCGCAGAGCTCGGTGATCGCCTCGTGGGTGTTGCAGTCCCGCAGCCGGCCTAGGCGCGTGTGCGGCAGACGCTCGAGGGTGCGCCAGAGCACCTCGTGCTTGACGCCGCCGACGTTGATCGAGACGCGCCGGTTCAGCGCCTTCGACCGCATGATCATGAACGGCTCGGGCGGTAGGGACGTCATCGACCTCGAGAAGGCACGCTGCTGCTGCATCTGCAGCGGCAGGGGCGGCGGCGGCGGTGGCGGCGGCGGCGGCGGCGGCGGCGGTAGAGACGGCAGGTTTACCGGCGCCGGCACGGTACCGACCGGTCCTACGGACGACGAGAACGGAGCGTAACGGACCTCCTTGTTCACGCTTCCTCCTCCTCCCGCTCCTCCTCCTCCACCACTTCCACCCATACCCGCAATCCCCGCGGCTCCTCCGGTACCGACTCCTCCGAGTCCCATCCCTCCGCCCAACCCAACCCCCGAGCTACCCGTCGACGCACCGAACCCGAGACCTCCTCCGCCACCGGTGCAGCCGGTCGCAGAAGCACCGACTGCACCGAGCTGCTGCAACGTCGTCGTGCCGCCACCCTCGAACACGTAGCCCTGGTCGGTGCCGATGTAGGGCACCATGCACGACGGCGACGACGATGAGAGCGCCGGGCCAGCGACCACGGCGCTACCATTACGTTCCCCGTCCGCCAGTGTGTTGTCCTTGAGCCGTCTCTCGTTCAGCATCGGACGCGCCGAGTTACGGCGGCTTCAAGTCGTCGGCAAACAACAACGCGATCGCGAGCCGGTGCTCCCCGACGATATCGTTCGCTTTGTTTTCGTCCCCTTCTTGTCCTCCTCTTCTTCTTCTGCTACTTCCTCTTCGTCTTCTTCCACCTCCTCTTCTTCCTCTTCTTTTTCTTCGTCTTCTTTTTCCTCGTCTTCTTCTTCTTCGTCCTCCTCCTCCTCGTCCACGGTATTCTTCTTCAGCTTCATCCGTAAATCCGTTCGCACCCCTCTGTCGACTCGGTCGACCAATTCCGTCGCGTCATAATCTGCAAGACACACCGGATGATGTACGTGACGTAGCCATATTTATGCGCGTTGTTGAGAAAACTCGGACCTAGACTGACCTCGTGTGAAGAATCACGTGGATTTCGCGAGGAAAACCTCGCTTAAGTAGGAGTTAAACTAGTTTTTAGCTAATAATTCTCTAACTGGCTAATTTCTGATCAATTTTATTGGCAAAAACTTACCAGTTTAAGAGACTTTTTTTTCGGCGATAACCGAATAGTAAAACTAACTAGTTTCTGACTTGTTCCTAACAAGACTTTGAACATTTCATTTGTTTACTATCTTACTTGTTTATTATTTCGCCGAGTTTCCGGCCAGGTAATTGCCGAGAAACACTAGCCAAGATCTTAAGAATTTTCGCTGGAAACTGTTATTAACTTACTATTTTCTTGGAGTAGTTTACGGTAGGTAACTGACTAAGAAATAACAATCAGTATTTTTTGGACAGTTTCTGAACAGTTACTGTCTAGTTAATTCAAGCCAGGTTCTGCCTAGTGTGACTAGTTTTTCCCTAACATCTTTCTACTCGGCTCCGTTCCTCCTTCTCGCGACAATCGAGCGAGCGACCGAGCTCTTGACAATTATCGAATGCAACATTTTTCACGCGTTTCCCTCTCACCCGGAAGGCCACGCGCGGCTCCCATCGCGACATGATTTTCCAATATAACTTTCAGAGAAGTCATTTTTTATTGAATCCCGCGCAACCCCGGGAGCGCAACGCGGCGCGATGCTCGATGAACGGTGGAGACGCCGAGAATAGAAACGATCGTGACGATAATACCAAAGCCCGGCGTCGCGCAATTACCTGCTCGTATATCGGCTCGTCCGTCCCAAGAACGCGAGATGGAGAAAACTTTGACATTAACGCTCGCCACGATAATTATATCGCCTAAACATAGGCATTTCGAGGCGCGGGCAATTAACCCGGCGGCGAAACTGTTCCCTTCGAATTGCCACGCGGCCTATCGTAAGTGGATAACGATCCGGCCGCGATAAATTAGCACAATGTAATTATTCCCGGCGACGGTTCACGCGAGCCTACTCGCGAAACGCGAGGCTTTCTCTCTCCTAGGTCAAGAAACACGTGTACGTCAGATCGAATTATCGGACCTGTTGTTTCCTCGGGCGGGAAATAGGGGAAGGCGTTCGTGCCGCGTCGATGCAGCAACCACCGCTCGGTCTTCGGGAACAAATGTTTTTCAGTGGAACTTTTACGTGCGTGCCAATTCTTCTATATTTATTACCACTTTTTTCACCACGTCATTAATAGCGATTCATAATAAAAGCATTATATAAAGTGCATCAAATCTTTGATTCTTTTTCATTTTTCACTGCGTCATTAATGATGATTTAATGGTAGTACGAGTAGAGATGCGCGAATCGCAAGGATTTTTCATGTCGAATCGAATCGTTCAAGGCTCGGTTCCTTCCGCTAGTCATATTGCTTTTGTGACATCATAGGCGAGAAATGACATGCAGTAAATTTCTTGTAACGTGTAACTTTATTTTTTAATTTTCCCTGAAAAACACAATGATTTCGTAATCTTGAAACCTGTAAAATTTGCAGAAAATTAAGATATCTGGCCGATATATCTATGTCGCGTAAAATTGAAAAATAATTTTTGAAATGACGAGTCATTTTTCAGCCATTTCAGCTATCCGCCCGAGTATGGTTGGTTTACAGGTTTCAAGATTACGAAATCATTATGCTTTTCGAGGAAAATTAAAAAATAAAGCTACATATTGTAAGAGACTACATGTCATTTCTCACCTATGACGTCACAAAGCCATTATGGCTAGCCGAGTGAGCCGAGTCTAAAACATAACTTTTAATTAACCATATAATCATCGAATTCAACATGAAGATAGTGAGGGGAGACTTCGGTATGAGGGGGATAATATTGATCTCGCGATATAAACTATTTTAAAGTGAGATATATATATTTAAATATATAGAATAAAATTGATATTGAATTGATACCGATGAAATATATTAATTTAGCGCAGCAGTAATTGAAACGGTCAGATATGAAAGATCACAAATCATCAATTGCTAAAGTACTTTAGAGAGCGTTAACATCATCAGCCGTTTGCAATCAATGCGGAATCTGAATAATTTTAGAAATGCAATTTCATAAAAATATATAATATGCTGCGTATCATAGATACATTTGCACATTTACGAGATTCACATCGGAATAATTACAAATTGTAAAATTAATATTACGATATAAGCTAAATTTGATATTTATAATGGTGACAAATTACCATTAATGTAACGTTAATGCGCTTATCAATTTTCCACAGATTCATTTGATATCATGAAAATTTATTTAAACACGTGAATTTTAATAATATCTCTCTTAACGATGTCTTGAGTTTTAATATTTTTGAAGCGGATCTGCTTTTAATATTTTTGAAGAGGATCTGCTTTTTTTGAAAAAGATCTTAACAGCGAATTTTTCAAGTCATGCTAATTCCCATAAGCTTGAACGTCTTTAATAATATTTCGTCAATGTTAATATGCGCAATTTGTATTCGAAATTTTTGAATTGTTCGAATTTGAATCGAATCAGATGAGGTGAGATGAGTTTGCACATCTCTAAAAACAATATATATAGGTTTCCCGTGACAGTGTTTAGTTCGCTATAATTATAGTTACAATAACATGTTGTATAGCTGATTTACCATTTGGGGCACTTGAGAATTGCGTCTTTTCTCAAGAAACATTTTCCATTATTGCGTTGTATTCTCTCTCTCTCTCTCTCTCTCTCTCTCTCTCTCTCTCTGCAATCGCGAGTAGAGACACGTTAAAGAGACGCTGCGTAAACAGTTGAAAGATTCTCTGATAAACAGCGTTCTTCGGGAGACGTGTGATCTATTAATAACTAGATGTAATATCGTTACGTTCGGCTTGAAAAAGACGCGCGGAAATAACGGCGATTCGCCTAAAAATACGGTCGATTAACGATCGACAACGGCGTGCCGTCTATTTTTACTACCGACCAAATAGCAGTGTTTGTATCTACGTACCTGCCTAGCAGCGATTAACGGCTAATTTGCAATGAAAACAGCCAATGAAGAACGTGGGCGGACGTCTCAAGAATACGTCATTGCGAAATGAAGAGAGAGACGCAGAAACGGGGCACTCGGGGCCTCGCGTCGACTGCGAAAGTAAAATTAATACTTCGACCACGCATGCGTGACAAATGGCTATTGTGCTGGTTGAAAGCTTAACAGAGCTCGGACGATTACGTCTCCCGGTAGAGATTAAGGTGAAAAAGCAGTCGCAGGTAGCGGGCAAGTCTGCGCTACGATGAGCGTAGGCGGCCACGGGAGCGACAGGTCGGTGATAAAATCATCGAGGCGATTGACACAGAAGGGAACGTTTCGACCTTCGTCGGGCACCTCCTCGACCTACGCGAACGCTCATTGTGTAGAAACTATCTGAGTTGAAATGTTGCTCCTATCTCAAATCTTTAATTCTACAACACAGTAGGGGTCAGTGTAGCAAAATAGGTTCGATTTCAATTCGAACAATATAATTTACTTCTTCCTTGACCCTGATGACCTCTTAAATTTCCGTTTTCGCTGTTCAGTGCTGTTTAGCGACAAAATAGGTCATTCAAAGTAACATTGAAATTAAACCTGTAAAATTAAAGTTTCAAGAGAGTTAATAAATGTCGATGTCGTCAAAGTAGATTTTTATACTGTTTTAAGGAAAAGGTAAAAAAAAAACGCCAAGTTCATGCGCTCCCCCATAAGAACTGTACAAAAGGAAATGTTGCTATAAAAAATCGCCTATAAAGGATATGATATCAGATACTTACGCCAAGTGAGAATAATTTCATATCAGATTTGTGTCATAACAACTTTGATTGCATTGACATTACATGTGGTGTCTAGTGATTTTATTCATAATTATAAAATTGGAAAAAATATATTACATTTTAAAATTATCTCGTTATTGTATATGTTACTCGTTATCCATTAGTAAACTCATTATTATTAGTATTATTATAAAAATATTATTGTTTCTTACTTATTATTGCTTGTTTGTTGTTTTATTGTTATTATAGAAGTATTATAGTTATTATAGAAGCAACGTGTTACAAATAACACATTACTTCTCAACACTGTAACCATATATTCATACAAATATATAAAAGTGAAAATTTGAAAAAAAAAAAATTAAATTATGAATACAATTAAGAGTACACTAAAAATCCATACCCGGATCTGCTATATACTTGACGATCTCTAATATATATTTCATATTCTAAATTATATTCCAAATCAATTTGAGAAATTCTATCTATCTATCTTAATATGACCCAGATAGATCAAGCATTTTTTGTGTAATAGGTTTTTATATACGGGCTATCTGAGTAACGGCCAAAGTAGCATCAAAAGTTCGAGAAATTCGCGAATGACCGATAATGTTGATCCATTACCATTATCAGCCCTAGCATTATTAGTCATTATCACGACTCAGACCCGCCTGTTATGAATATTCTTCGGTGGAAATCGCACAGTGGAAATATCACACGGTAATCGAATAATCAATGAATTAGCAGAGGTTCGTGACTTTAGTTTTTAACGTCGATGGCCGCCTAGAGCGCAGTCGATCCGAAGATTTTGCGTGCATTCTTGTATATTAATTGAGGCTCAACTTTCCACGCAGTCTTCTTCATTCATTGGCCGGTTTACACACGGTCCCGTAATGCTCACTCCGCCGTAATCCCCCGTTTGACCCCCGCCGGGGACACACGCACGTGCGGCGGGTCACGCATTACGAGAATCCCGAATCCGACAAAGGTCACAGAGGCCGAAAATAGACTCGCTCGTCTAATTACACCCGAGTGCCGGTAAATTTAGCACGAAACAGATAGCCCGGCTCCGCGAGAAAGAGAGAGAGAGAGAGAGAGAGAGAGTTAACTCGATGATACTGCGATTGTAGAAATCGCATCACGACTATCTA